CCGGACGGAATGCTCGACTGGATCTCGCTGACTCTGTTTGCAACGAATGTCTTCCATTTCGACGGTGGTTGCCCGAGCCACGCGAGAACGATCGAGGAGTCCGTCCAACAGTAGCAATTCGCAGTGATTTTGAGTGAATTTTGTACATATCGGAGTAACCGGGATAGTAAGACAGCGGCCGACAACTCGAGACGCGGAATACTGAGTGTTTTTATGGGCGCGACTTTTGATTTTCCCATTATCAGCGAAATCCTGGAATGACCAGACTTCGCGATTGCTTTAAGGTATATAACGGCGGCGTAGGCCACTGATGATGCGTCGGCGAAACCGTGCAACTCATACCGAGCCGCGGTTGTGTCGACGTCGATCCAGCGAGGAAGCTCGAGCTTGTTGAGTTCCGCTAGTTGAGAATATACCGTATGCCAGTTGGCCAATTGCTCGAGCGGAATATTGTCGTCCCAGTCGAGCTTTAGTTGCCACAGATACTGGAGGAATATCTTAGCTTGGATGGTAACGGGCGTCACCCAACCTAACGGATCGAAGAGTCTCGCGATCGTAGAGAGAATCGCGCGTTTTGATTGCGGGATTTCTGGAGGGAGAGAGACCTTGAAATTGAATACGTCCGACGCTGGATTCCACCCAATTCCAAGGACTTTTAGACTCTCGTCCGTTTCAAGCGGCTTGTTGCACGCGAGTCCGTGATTTTCGGGACTGATGTCGGTTAAAAGAGAGTTGGCATTACTTGCCCACTTGCGAAGCTCGAAGCCTCCTCGCTGGAGCATCTCCCGCAGCTCATTGCGTATTTGCCGGAGGAGCTCAGGATCGTTGTCGCCAAACAACACATCGTCAACATAGATTTGGCTTTGCAAAATCTTAGCTGCGAAAGGAAAGTTATGACCTTCGTCCGCGATCAACTGTTTAATAACGCGCAGCGCGAGAAACGGTGCGCAGGCCGTGCCATAGGTAACCGTTAGCAGTTTGAATTCGCTTGGTCGGTCAGAATCGCGAGTCTTCCAGAGAATTCGCTGATAAGTGGTATCGCGAGGATCGACTAGAATCTGCCGATACATTTTTGTAATGTCAGCGGTGTAGACGTATTTGAATAAGCGCCATTGCAGAATAATCGCGGGGAGATCCGTTTGTAGCTTTGGTCCGGCCAGGAGGTGATCATTAAGGGAGGAGCCGTTTGTAGTGGCATTGGACGCGTTAAAAACGACACGTAAATGCGTGGTCGAACTATGATCGCGGATGACGTGATGGTGTGGAATGAACACGCATTGAGTGTCTGGCGATCGGGGATTTGTCACCCT